GCATGTGGACGTGAAGCCACTGCTCCGGGGTGATTGACAGCCATCTGTCCTGCTAGGAACAGGTGCGCGGTCACCGTGGCAACCGATGACAACTGGTCCTGGCACACGCTGTCAGTGCCACTCCACCGATGCCAAATATATGACGAGACACACAACACACACACTCACATCCATCATGCAAAGCTGCAAGCCAAAGCAACAAAACTCTCTTCCAAGAAACTCGTAAGCGTGCCTTTTTAAAGATTAAGAAGAGACTAAACAGAACAAAAAGAACAATGTGCTTTCTGCCCGCACAGACGGATCAACTCTCTTAAGCGCTACTTAACTAATGTTACATATACACATACAGTAATTAAAAGCCAAAGCAAACTGTGCACATTATGTTCCAACCTTCTTAAAGGTTCTATAGTGTAAACTATTTTTAAAATGAATCCTTTTTTTATTGCCTGTGTTTGAAGGGGTTGTAATCACACATTCAACGATCCACTTTCGGGTTTTTGCCAATTACCTCTGAAGGCCAATATTCTTATTTATATGCGAGGTCTCCGGGTCGGATTTTCTGCGCGAAATCCATCAGAAGTGACGTGCACGGCGCGCTCCCGAGTCCCGAGCCTCTCTATCCTACAGTCTATCATGCGAACAACGGCACTTCAGCTGACGACATGGAGTCTGATAACCCCCAAAACTCCAACACAAACTCCACATAAATATAAAAAAACAAAAAAAGTTTTATCTGCTCAGCTCGTCAGGCAAAACGTGAATCTGATCGACTCCGGACGAAAACGCGGATCAACATAGTAAACTCAAGTGAAATAACAAGGTAAACTACAACATTACATGAATACAAAAGAATGTTCCAGGATAACATTAGTATAACATTTAGTATGTAACTTATTTTATTTACTAGATCTAAACGTACTGACTAATGTCGTCATCCCACTACCATATTGTTTATACACATTTCCAGACGCGTTCAGTACAGTATTGTTACTTCCTACGATCTTATTGATACACTGAAACTGTTCAGTTTAGTTCACTAACCGTTTTCATTATCATATTATACATTCACCTTTGCTGATTGTGAAAGATACACGAATAGTTAGAGAAATGGCTTATGCTATATAACATCACATGTCGGCTAAATGCAGTTTATTGTAACAAAATCATACGAGCACAGAGGATTAGTTCAACGTCAAGCTGATAAAAGTAGGCTATTATTGTTATCTGCAGTGGGAGTTTACATTAGTTTCCAGCATGTGTGATAATTTCGCGTTGCGTTGAAAGTCTCCGTGTGGTCGGTAGTGAATGATTGCTCGCTCTTGAGATTGAGCACGAGCACGAGCGCTCTTGTTGCATTCTGAAACATCACCGCTAGAGGTCGCTAAACGTTGCATACAGCACCTTTAAAGCCAAAGTAAACGCTGTCTTTTTTTATTTACGCGAACACAGTATATTGGGTCTCATTCGCTGAGAACTGCACAAAAGTCGTCTACTTAAGCATGCAGACAAGTTTCTTATGTTGCATGTGAATGTGTTCCAGACAGCAAACTGACATTGAATCAACGTGGAAACGACGTCTCTCGTGACATTGAAACAACGTTGATTTTGCTCATCGAATTAACGTTGAACCAACGTCAGACAAGGCATTCTTCAAAGCTAAATGAAAATCGAAAATTGGTTTGCTTTCATGACGTTGAAACAACGCGTTGATTTCAAGTTGATTTTCCGTTAGTTTTGAAAGAAGACGCGTCTGACGTTGGTTCAACGTTAATTCGATGAGCAAAAACTATGTCAGATCAACGTTGTTTCGATGTCATATTTCCACGTTGATTCAATGTCAGTTTGCTATCTGGGTTCTTCCTCTCATGATGATGATGGTGAGTCTGGAAAAGGTTAGATGTGTGAGCACACACCAGCAGAGAAGTTCAGTTCAAGAGCGTGTGAATTGAGAAATCAAACTTTCCCCAAACTTAGTCATATAAGGCCCTGTTTACAGGGGGGCTTCAGGATTTTGGACACCGCGCCTAATTTCCAAGTTAGCCTGTGTGTTATTTATCAGTGGAGACGGTTTTCAACAATTTTCATCCAGTCGTTCCAGTTGTATAGTTCGCCGATGCTAGGCTAGCGCGAGTCAACGGTAACTGCTAGCCTGCCATTAAAACAGTTTTATCCACTCCACAGTTCACCAAACGCAAAGAAATTATAATCGATGTAAGTGTCTGTTGAGAGAATAAATCAAACTAATCAAACCGAGAGAGGTAGTGAGAGAGAGGGGTAGAGAGAGAGAAAGAGAGGTAGTCCCAAACTGTAGTGCGCTTCGGACTATGTTTGCTTTTCGGCGCAGGACTACTAAACAGAGCAAAGTAAAATCCCGCCGCTGCTGAGAAACTAGTTCCTGTAAATGTAATGCGATCATTGAGATGCAAAAGTAGTTTGATTTCTAACATCAATCTCTCAACAGGCACTTACATCGATAGTCTAATATAATGTATTACATTTGATAAAACTGTGGAGTGGGTAAAACTGTTTTTTAATGGAGGCTAGCAGTTACCGTTTACTCGCGTTAGCCTCCCAGACAGCAAACTGACATTGAATCAACGTGGAAACGACGTCTCTCATGACATTGAAACAACGTTGATTTTGCTCATCGAATTAACGTTGAACCACGTCAGACGCGGCATTCTTCAAAGCTAAATGAAATCGAAAATTGGTTTGCTTTCATAACGTTGAAACAACGCGTTGATTTCAAGTTGATTTTCCGTTAGTTTTGAAAGAATGACGCCTCTGACGTTGGTTCAACGTTAATTCGATGAGCAAAACAATGTCAGATCAACGTTGTTTCTATGTCATATTTCCACGTTGATTCAATGTCAGTTTGCTATCTGGGCTAGCATCGGCAAACTATACAACTGGAACGACTGGATGAAAATTGTTGAAAACCGTCTCCACTGATAAATAACACACAGGGTAACTTGGAAATGAGGCGCGGTGTCCAAAATCCTGATCCACCCCTTTATAAGCGCTTTGGTTGATCGGATCACAAGTGAATAACACTAAACCACAGGTGTACATGGGAACAGAAACATTTTGAGCTTGTCCACTTCTGACCTGGAGATGTGTTTAAACAGCCACAAAGACCGTCGATACTCTCCATATACTGATTTAATGCATAAACATTGTGAGAAGTAAGTACACATTTAAACATTGTCGGATGAAGACCCTAGTTTGGTTTGAAGATGAAAAATCAAGCACACCCAGATAGAAAACTGACATTGAATCAACGTGGAAACATGACATCGAAACAACGTTGATCTGACATTGTTTTGCTCATCGAATTAACGTTGAACCAACGTCAGACGCGTCATTCTTTCAAAACTAACGGAAAATCAACTTGAAATCAACGCTTTGTTTCAACGTTATGAAAGCAAACCAATTTTCGATTTTCATTTAGCTTTGAAGAATGCCGCGTCTGACGTTGGTTCAACGTTAATTCGATGAGCAAAATCAACGTTGTTTCAATGTCATGGGAGACGTCGTTTCCACGTTGATTCAATGTCAGTTTGCTGTCTGGGCAATGTTCTCTCTCCATTCCTGATTTCTAACACACAGCAGAAATTAAAGGAGAACTCCGGCGCAAAATGAACCTTCGGTCTAATTACACATTGTTACCTAGTCAACCGTTATCTGAGATTTGTTTTCATGATTGCCGAATGTAAATAGTTTTATCTCTAAAAACAGTTTAGCCTATAACGCTAGTATAACGCTAGTATATAGGGCATAGAGTAATGACAAATAAAAATCGCTTGTTATTACCACTAACAAGGCTCAAAATAGCCCCACACTAACACGGTAGCATAATAAGGGTCCCTACATTCAAACTGAAGCATTGAGAACTGTGTCAGTGTCTATACAGTTTAATAAGCAGATATTTTATACACACAGTCAACTTCGCGAAAACAGGAAGAAGCCATCTTTGAAAAATAGTCTCTAGCAGTCGATCTACGAGCGCGGATCCAAGTGCGCTGAACTGTGCAGAATCTCATATGGTCCGTTGTTTTCGGAAGAAACACAAACACAAACCGTTTTCTTCTCTTCAGTATGTACACGTAGCCTACTGTTCGCGCTCACCTCATCACCTTATTCACATCTCACCAGCGCACTTGGATCGGCGTTCGTAGATCGACTGGTAGAGACTATTTTTCAAAGATGGCGTCTTCCTGTATTCGCGAAGTTGACTGTGTGTATAAAGTATCTTCTTATTAAACTGTATGGACACTGACAAAGTTCTCAATGCTTCGGTTTGAATGTAGGGACCCTTATTATGCTGTCGTGTTAGTGTGGGGCTATTTTGAGCCTTGTTAGTGGTAATAACAAGTGGTAATTACTCTATGCCCTATATACTAGCATTATAGGCTAAACTGTTTTAGAGATAAAACTATTTACATTCGGCAATCATGAAAACAAATCTCAGATAACGGTTAACCAGGTAACAATGTGTAATTAGACCAAAGGTTCATTAGACCAAAGTGCGCCTCCAGGACTTTAAAGTCATCATGAAATGAAAGTTGCGTTGGTCTTTTCTTCCTTATGGTGCCGTATATCCGAGTGAAACGCTCTTTAGGAACAAGAACACATGTGGGCGGGGCTTGATTTTGTCCATTTGGAATCACCCAGCAAACAAATTTAGGTTCTGGGAACGTTTCGGGAACGTTAGTTTTTGGTTCCCAGAACGTTCCTAGAACTTAAGGGAATGTTTCTGGAACATTCTCCTTGCGTTATAAAAATGGAACCTAAAAATAACCTACATGGAACGTTCCTATAACGTTTTTGTTTGATTCCCCAAAAAAATAACCTCATGGGACCATTCAGGAACGTTCTGTGTTTGCTGGGCGCTTGGTTGGATGGTGGATATTAGATGTTGATTCTCACAGAAAGGCACACACATGCACACACACACACACACCCATAGAGCCTGTGCACCCATCATGCAGTGCGTTTACCCCTGTGCTGGGGCGGTAGGCCCCTCGAGGGCAGCCCCCTCTGCTCTCCCATCTCTGGATGTGTCTGATGGGCACCTGCTGCACGGGTCTCCGGGTCTCCCTGCGGGTGTGAGCCGGGCGTACGAGGTCACACCTGCGGCCCACGTGCCCGGCCCGGCAGATGCACCTGCCCTCAGAGTCGCAGCGCTGGGACACCGAGCCCCGAGCGCTGCACTGACACGGCATACACAACTGAGACTCGCCATCCCACCAACAGTTCGGCTGAACACACACACACACACGGGGTGATGAAGAGGCAGAGGCATGAAAGACTGTGTCCGCTGTGGATCTCATACAGGATTTACTCGTACTGGCGCAGTGAAAAAGAAATGTGCCACTAGCAATAGCCGCGTTTCCATTACCATTCAAACTGCGGATTGAAAATACTGTCAATGGAAACAAGTCAAATTCGGCAAAAAAAAAAAAAACTTTCGAAAACAGGCCATTCGAAAACTGCAATGGAAACATTTACAGGTCACCTGACGTACGTAAAAATGATGCGCTATGGTGTGTTTGGACAGAAGTCTTCATTAAACTCATAAAAGTAAAATATATCATGGGAACACTGGGTCTAATCAACAAAGAATGCCACAATTGATGAAGATAAGTAGCCTGGATGCCAGCCAGAACATTTTTTGTTCGGGAAGTTTGGTCTGGACTCGATCCATTGAGGAGAAATTATGATCAGGCAAAAAATGAACGGGCCAATCAGATTGCGAGGGCGGGCTTTAAACGATGATGGACAGAGGATCTGCAGGGACGTAATCATCACGTTATCAACGAGCGCTAACTGATTTCCCTCAGAGATGACTGCAGCTGAAGAATTGAGATGTATAGATTACACTGTCGCGTCTGTTGTGAAATAAATCGACAGCGCATTCATTTTAATCGACAAACAGAAAACTACAATCAAGGCATTTGTCGATCGGAAAGATATTTTTGACATGATTCGGCAAAAGTGTAACTTATCAGCTGGTTCTGACAGTCGCTAAGAAGATGGGACGTGATGAAAATCTTGTGGTCGTTGTGGTTTCTCCTTTGGTCGCACTCATGGAGGAGTAAGTAAAAGGAGCAACACTTGTTATTAGGGCTGGGTAATAAATATCGATTTCTCGATATTAATCGATTCTCATTTTTACGAACCGATATCGATTCTTAAATCTCAAGAATCGATTAGTCATCCTGTTTCATTTGAATAAATGGATCATTGTATCGCGGCTGCGCGCATTCAAAACATCGCAATAATCTTTGTCCTTTGTTACTATTGATATGAAACAAAGTCTCAATTTTCAAATTACGTCCATTTTCTTTAGAAATTCAAAAATATAAATAATGTTTTGGCGCTGTGGCGTGCGATCGCTCTGGAAAAGCAGCAGCGCTGATCTCTCTTCCGGCTTAATAATACCAGTCACAGCGCCAAATAAACATGAATGAGCATCTGAAAGTGTGTTAAAGATAGAGTACAACTTATCGAAATCCGTATCATGTCACATTGATTCGCTCAATCAGCGTTTCAACCGTGGAAAGACGTCAGTTAAACAGCTTGTAATCAATGTATCGTCATATTTACCTCAGAAAACCCACATCAACTCGAGTCAGCTAGAAAAAATAACTCTAGAGAGGAGCATTTTGCTAAATATATACACCATATTACATATGCATTATAATCTTAATGTTCTTCAATATTTAAGGCATATTTGAATAAATCTGGCAAGTTTTTATGACAGCCACCATTTAAATGTTTATATTTCACATAATCTTCTTATTATAAAAATAAATAAAAGTGTAATTTAAGTGTTTGTATAGCTACAAAACAGTTCATTATTACCTTCATATTATGCTAATGAAGCCTATAGGCTACAACTAGACTCCCATAGTTTACAGCATTAGTTAAGAGATTTGATTCCCTTGAGAAAATTTGCCATTTATTTTAACTGACATCCAAAATAATCAATATTGAATCGAAATCGAATCGAATTGCAAGCTTGTGAATCGAAATCGAATCGAATTGTGAAATTTGTGTCAATTCTCAGCCCTACTCGTTATTTAACTTCTAAAATAAGTAAGTTCTGTAGTTGAAAACTACGCTATGCAAAGGAGTTGACTTACTGCGTTGCTTTGATTGGTTGTGACTTTCCAATTGAGTGCAGAGGGTTTTTTTTTTCCTGGTTCGGTTAAGACACGCCTCATAATCAAAGCCCTACGGAGCGGTTTCAGACTCATATTCTCACTAGAATATGAGTATGACGAAGTCAGGCTAGAAGATAAGCAGATCTGAGGGATAAACACCTCATATGTGACACTCACAGGTAATGCTTGATAACACGTCTACGTCTACGTAATAATAACGGCCAGTGCGGTGGCTGGGATAAACCTACCAACATCCGTCGCCACGATGTTTGGAATGACTTTTGACGTTTTAGTGGCAGATTATCGGTTAATGGAAACAATTTTTGATCAACATTTAGAAAATATCGCAAAAGCTTTGCGCACGTCTGTAATGGAAGCACGGCTAATGACAGCATTCGGTGTTGTGTACCCACCATACACTCCTCACACTGGCGTCCGAGCACATGTTGTCGACACTGGCACTGGCCGGTCTCCTGATGGCACACCTCCGACACCGACCCGTTACTGTGACACCGACACGCTACACACACAGAGACAGACAAAATATGCATTACACACTTATACTCTTATTTTGTAATTCATCATTGGAGTCTGAAGCCCCTCCCCCTTCGCTCCAAAGTGTTCAACTTTCCACACTTGTTTTTTCCAGTTTATTAATTGCATCATCCAGGTATTTAAAGTGCACTTTTTCTTTTGGGAATTGTCACTGAACAAACTACTTTTAACTACGAACTATTATACTACAAAATATCATAGAATAGTGCAGATGTATGCAAATTGGGACACCTATTAAAATCCATTAAAGTCCCCCTGATCATCTACCACCACACATAATAAACGAGGCAAGGGGCCTTTACATTCAATATACTACCAGTCAGTCACAATATTGGAATATGGTTCTCATTGGTTTTTACTAGGGCTGTCAAACGATTAATCGCGATTAATCGCATCCAAAATAAAAGTTTGTGCTTACATAATATATGTGGGTGCATTGTGTATAATTATTTTATGTATATAAAAACACACACATGCTTGTATATATTCAAGAAATATTTTCATGTATATACTGTATATAGATTGATATATAATTTATATTATATATAAATATAAATAATTTATATATAAATAATATTTTTTTTCTTAAATATACATGCGTGTTATTTTGTGTATATATATATATATATATATATATATATATAATATTTTTTTTTCTTAAATATACATGAATGTTATTTTGTATATATATACAAACTTTAATTTTGGATGCGATTAATCGCGATTAATCGTTTGACAGCCCTAGTTTTTAATATTTTTAAAGGTCTCCTGCTCACCAAGGCTGCATTTATTTGATCAAAATAAAAACAGTGAAAACAGTGAAATATACAAATATAAACATTATAAAATGTGAATAAATAGTAAAATGTAAATCAAAGCTGAATTTTGTCACATGACCCTCCAGAAATCACTCTAATATACTTTTAAATTGGCTTTTTAATTTTTTTATTTGCTGCTCATGAAACATTTCTGTAGTGGCGCTTCATATTGTTGAGGAAACCTCCACACACAACTATTCAAACGTGTGGAGTGAGCAAGATTAATGCTTTTATTCAGCAACGACCTATTCAATTGGTCAAAAGTGACACAAAAAAGACTTATTTTTCAAATAAATGCTGTTCTTTTGAACGTCATGTTCATCAAAAAATCCTGAAAAATAAAATGCATCATAGTTTCCACAAAAATATGAACAGCACAACAGTTTTCAATGTAGGTCACTCAAACAACTCCCCATTGAGCGCTGCGCTCCCACTGCATTGTTCTGCTCTTCACAACACAAATAAAGTCAGTCCAATTTTCTTCAATTAAATATAAACTTGCTCCAGAGTTTGGAAACGGGCGAGCATTGAACAGTACAGACCTGAGGTCAGCAACTGCGGCTTGGTGCACATTTTTCAAACATGACTTTTGTACAGTAATAAGTGGTGAAAAGCTTCTATTTAACAATTTTCTAGTTTGATATTAAAATTGACGTTTTTTTTTCAGTCTGATAATAGAGTAAAGTACACGAAAACATTAAAAATCCTAAAACTGTCTGTATATACCAGGTTTAATCCCATCGTTTGATTTGAACATGTTTTGCAATATTATAACCATCTGAAATGAGCTACGGTCTGTAGGAACACATCGAGAGTTGAGAACTGTTTCCTGGTCATGTTTCATGCGTAACCATGGGAATCGCCTCTAGCGTATACAGTAACAGCCGAAATTAAAAACCAGTGAGATTATTCAATATCCCATGACCCCTTTGCATGCTAATCAGCGCAGTGTGTGTGCAAAACAATCAAAGAGAGCGACTGTATCCTGCTTCAGATGGCAGTGTGTGTGCGACCGTGGCCTGCAGGAGGACAGATTGCGGTTCGATGTAATGCACACACACTTTCTGAGCACAGATGGTGCAGCGTGAGGCCTGTTGGAGGGGAATCGGTGTGTGTATTGTCCTTGAGGCTAGACGGCCTGAGCTTGATACTGGATCAGCTCACCTCTCTCACACACACATCTGCCATACATTCCAGACTGTCTGGAAGTACACAATTTAATTTCTACAAAAATTGACACATTAACAACTTTTAAAGTGACAGCCAAATATGGCGTTTAAAGAAAGGAAGGAACGCGCTTAAGATACGGCACCCTACAGTAATATAACAATAGTACTGAGTAATACTATAGGAACTGAATCCCGTACTCAATAACATTTACAATGCTAATATATTACTTTTTACTCCTTGCAATTTCATTTGCGCCTTCAAAGTACATTTCACAGGTTATGTTAATTACAAAATTATAAAAACCCATACAAATTGCATTTTCATAAAAAGTCAAATGTCTATGAACGTGATGACAGCGACTTCTCTGATTGGTGGATTATGTGTCATCATCACTGGATCTTCCATTTAAATGACAAACTGACATACACAGGGATTCTCCAATCACGTAGTCCGCTTTAACCCTGACCTCACATTCATTTCCGACTGCCAAACACACATTTCCACAACCGATGCATAGAACGGAGCTTCTGCCCTACTTTTTTTCTTATTCAATAATCCGTTTCACTGTGATGTATGTCACGATACAGAGGAAAAAGATGCCTCTGCATCCATTACATTTGATGTTGACAGTCTCCCGGTTCAGATGGGACCAGCTTTCCCAGAGGACGTCAGGTAAACTGGTGTTTCGCAGATTTTAATCCTGCCTGAATCAAACGCGTCTGTTTTCAGCGCCTAGTGTTTTTCAGCTGTTTTGTCTTTCCTCTGAGAAAACCCATCCAAACGGGAATGTCTGAGATGTTATTTATTTTTTTACAGTGCTTCTCCTACTCCTTTTTATGCTTGACAGACGTGGTCACTATAGTATCTGTGATGAAAAACATATTTTTAAAGTTAAAAAAACGTAACGTCGGCCTTTGGTTTAGTTGTTAGCTAAAACAATGAAACTCGGCATCTTCACTCACCTTGGCAATTCTTGGCCACGAGGGCATCTCCAAAGTATCCGTCAGCACACCTCCCGCAGTCCGACCCTCCGTATCCCTCACGGCAGCGCAGACAGGCTCCGGTCACCGGGTCGCAGCTGAGCGCCGCTGTGCGGTCCAGGTTACCGTTACACACACACGGCTGACAGGAACCCCCAGGAACGTCGGGACGGCCGAAATATCCATTAGCACATCTGAGGTCGTCAAGAGCAGAGAGAAGGCGTACTTTAAAAAAGCGTAGTCAAAATACTCCAGGCTGCACTTCTGCAGTGACACAACACTGTATCTCGGATCTTTTTCCGGATCGTTTCCGGCACACAATAAAAAATTAAAAAGGTAATTGCGACTTTTTATCCGACAATTTTGACTTTCTCTCACAATTTTGTGAGATAAAGTCACAATTGTGAGTTATAAAGTCAGAATTGCGTGATATAAAGTTGCAATTGCGTGTTATAAAGTCAGAATTGCATGTTTATATCACGCAATTGGGAGATATAAAGTCTAATTCTACTACTAATACTGATTTTATAACACGCAACTGCGATTATTTGCTGACGCAAAACTTGCAATACATTTTTTTCTCCTATTCATGAGAGTAATCAACTGGTAAAGTTTCATGGTGATATCTGTAGGTTAACATTTTTACCCCATCACCTTAAAGGATTAGTTCACTTTTGAAAAAACTTTTGCTGATTATTTACTCACCCCCATGTCACCCAAGATGTCCATGTCTTTCTTTCCTCAGTCGAAAAGGAATTTAGGTTTTTGATGAAAACATTCCAGGATTTTTCTCCATATAATGGACTTCAATGGGAACCGGATGGTTCAAGGTCCGAAAGACAGTTAATAACAGTTTCAGATGCAGCTTCAAATGTCTTTAAACGACACCAGACGACGAATAAGGGTCTTATCATGCGAAACGATCGGTTATTTCAAAGCTTATTCCAAAAATGTAACTTTTCTAAGGACAAATGCTAGCCTTTCTCCATTCTGTGAGGCGCGTTTGTAACGTCACGTAATACGTAATTACGTTCAAAAGGTCACGGGCGACGTAGCCGGAAGAACAGAATCAAAATCGTCCGACATCGTTGTTTTTCCTTTTAATTCCTTTTTTGTAAACGGCGTTTGAGTTAGTTTTCACGTTCAACCTATGCGTTCAACTTGTAAACACTCTGACTCTGTACTTCCGGCTACGTCGCCCGTGACCTTTTGAACGTAATTACGTATTACGTGACGTTACAAACGCGCCTCACAGAATAGAGCAAGGCTAGCATTTGTCCTTAGAAAAGTTACATTTTTGGAATAAGCTTTGAAATAACCGATCGTTTCGCATGATAAGACCCTTATTCATCGTCTGGTGTCGTTTAAAGACATTTGAAGCTGCATCTGAAACTGTTATTAACCGTCGTTTGGACCTTGAACCATCCGGTTCCCATTGAAGTCCATTATAAGGAGAAAAATCCTGGAATGTTTTCATCAAAAACCTAAATTTCTTTTCGACTGAGGAAAGAAAGACATGGACATCTTGGGTGACATGGGGGTGAGTAAATTATCAGCAAACGTTTTTTCAAAATCGAACTAATCCTTTAAGGAGCCAATTGGCGACCATCTTGAATTTCAAGGTCAAAAATTGGTCAAATCAATAAATCTACATCATTTATGCATTTCTTGACCCAAATAGTCTCAGAAACCATGTATTATGCAGTGTGGGCAAGAAAATTAAAAAGTTAATTTCCAGCTTGGTCGACGGCAGCCATTTTGGATATAGGGCTGTCACAAAACTCACCCCGGCTACATTTTTTCTTTAACCTTTATAGATGAAAAATCCAGTGAGAAACGAACCATCGCTCTCCGCGGTCATGGAAAAGCTATAGATGACCCAACTATATCTCGCATTTCTGAGAAATAAAGTGAGTGAGATTGCAATGTTTTCTTCTGTGGTGGAAACAAGCTTCCATACTTAGACTCTCTTCCCTCTTACATTATAAAATAGTTTATGCTTAAATCAATTTCTCACGAGCATGTGTTTTATTAATTGCTACGCAGCCATTTAATTACCTGGATAATGTACAGTCAGCTCGGGGTCCAGGTCACTGTGTGGGTTTGTTTCGCGATAATCAACGAATGAACATTTATAGCTCATGTACAGTATGATGCATAAAGATTTCCAGCTTGACGGTGGTGCTCAGAGGTCACCTTACCCAGTTATGATAGTGTGTGTACACAAACGCTAAACCTTAACTCATCTGAGCTGAGCGTTCTAGAGAATAGCTGGTGTAAATGGGATGAATGGACACACTTAAGAAAAGCATTTAAGTGTATTGCATTCTCAAACGTGTGCTGTTTCTCTTTTATCGGAGCTGTGTACACATTACAGCCCGTCTGATGAACAACCCTCTTTTGATCATGAAAAGAGCACCCGAGACTTTTCTCGCCAAAACAAAGCCCAGACGATGAGAATGTGAGAGAAATATAAGGGGAAGAGACGCTATCACTTCCTCCGCTCGCTTCGCCCACCCGCTCTTCTTATCGGCTGTCGGTGCGTCCGGATCCAGTATCTCTACTGAAGCGACTTGTGCTGCGGGCTGATAAACACGCAGTCTATCCACTCGCTTCATGTTAAATGGATTCCTCTGCGCTTATCTGCACACGGCAGCGCTATCTGCATGATGGCGGAAAGAGAAAGTAATCAGTGTGTTTCACTCGCGCTCAGCGGATTCCACGAGCAACCCTAGATTTATTAATTGAATATGGGATTGCTTGTGACTGTCTTTCCAGGCCCAGTGGCATGCTAGTTCAGAATCTAGCTCTAACTGTGGAGATTTTAACATTTAAACCATCTCACAATAACTTTAAAAGACATCATATCCCTTTAATGGTACAAATGCTCTGGGATCATGTCTCATTTAAGGAGTATTGGATTGGTTCATTCATATACAGTAATATCTGCATTTATAGTTGTGTTACTGTACGTCGGGTCCAGTGTTGGGAGTAACGCATTACAAAAGTAATACATTACAGTAACATATTACTTTTTACTGTAACGCAGTAGTGTAAGGCATTACTAATCAATTTTCAGTCATATTTTACTCGTTACATGTTCAGCGAGGCTTGTATTACAGTTGTATTACAGTGTATTTTCTGCTTTTACTTCTTAAAGGCAACAGACTATGTGAAAGTTTTAAAGCAGTCTTTTAGTGCCAATTCAGAGCGGTCGCGTCTGTAACATTGTTTTTTCCTCATAAATGCGAACACGAAAACTAAAATAAAATGAATATTTTAAGTTCTATGGAGACTGGAGAGCCAACCCTTCCTCATCCGATTCGCGCAGTGTAATTAACAGAATTACAAAAAAATATATTTTGCCTCCTATTTTTTTGTCACGCATGAATGTGTCTTTTCCCTAATATTAAAAATAAAACATAGACTGATATTTGTCTAATGTCTGGAGTCCTTTAAGGAAGTAGCCTATATACGTTTCAATACATGAATTTTCGGAGAATTTTTATTTCAAGTTTTGACTACAAATGTCATGTCCATAATGCTGGACTTCCCCAATTTTAAATAATTTATCCTCAACTAGTTTTGTGGTGTAGGTCTACTATTTTATAATGTTAACTTCAAATAATACTAATAGCCTAATTTAAAGATAAGGCAGCATTGGATATGGACGGTAAGGAGAATAACGCTGGAGTTGGAAGAGGTTTGTCGCGATTCTGTAGGTTTGTGGATCTGAGTCGTGTGGCGAATCGCGATTTCGGTTTCATATCGTTACAGCCCCAAAGTTAAGTTCTACTTAGTTATTTTGGTGAAAGTAACTCAAAAGTAATACATGAGTAATGTAACACATTACAATTCTGAGACAGTAATATTGTAAGGTAATGAATTACTTTTAAATAAGAGTAACAAGTAATACCTAATGTATTACAGTTTCGAAGTAACTTGCACAACACTGGTCGGGTCAGATTACAAAGTGTCCTTTTACTAAACGGCTTGCCATTTAACAATGAATTTCAAGTTGCTTTGGTAGGAAATTGTCCTCTAAGCACTTGACTGTAAATGCAATATGGAAAATGGGAATCAATCACATCTAGGTGATTTTGTTTTGTACATTAAAGAGCCCCTATCATGGATTTTTGAAAATGACTGTTCATATGGTGTGGACTATAGCTCAAAGGGAATGAAAACATCCTGCAAAGATTTATATCTGAAAGTGCACCGTATATAAAGTTATTGTCTTTCAAAAGTGAGAGTCGACTCTGAGTCTATGAAATGAATTGTTTTTGAAACGAGTCATTAGCTGTCACGTCGTGACGTAGAGACATACTGGCCACGCCCAGTTACTGCGCGCGCAGACGGAAGTGTAAACTTGAAGTCGTCATGTCGAGAAGACGCTGTGTTCTTCAATGCAAAGATAGTTCAGCCACTTTGTTTTCATTTAGCAGGGACGAGCATGTGAAGAATCGGTGGTTAGAGTTCATATTTGCAACGATACCACAACAGTATAGCCCGATTGTGTTCTCATCATTTTAATTAATCGTTCAAAAACATAAATGAATTCAAATGTGGATTCGCAAGCGGTTGTTCCTGAAGGAGGGCTCAGTAACTTACCCAGAGTATATGGATCAGCTTCATCCTTCGAATCACAACCTGTAAGTATTATTAATAATTGTTGCTTTTACGGGGTTTGAACGGTTTTGTAGCGTCGGGTGTGAGGAGGGAAGGTGCAATAAGTATGTGTGTGTGTAAGTTACGCTCAGCGCAGCTTCTAGGTCTCCAATGTCATTTTTTTTTAAATATGTGAAATGTTTGTCACTGTTATTGGAGTTGTCATAAAGAATATAGCGTCTTGTAGTGCTTTATCAATATGTTTATGCGTTATGCTAACAAACAATAACTGACTGGGTCTGTCATCTGACCAATCACCGCTGATTAGCGTCACGCAAAGGAGTGGTTTGGAAAAATGAGTCGTTGTACGAATCATTTGGGAGTCGGTGAGCAAATCAGTTAAAAATAAATGCATATTATAAGACAAATAAAGTGTTTTTTTAATCCTTACATGCATGTTAAACTGGGAACTCCCAAAACAAAAATAGGAACATTTAAAATGCCAGATTTTCTAAACAGGGCTCACAGTGAAGAACACAGATTGTGTTGGTCATTATGGAAATGATCCGGCTGCGTCTATCAACCG